TTGCCCTTTTATTAAATATGGTGAATTGGCTTAACAATCGTTTGAGAAAATCCGCTTGACGTTGGGTCAAGGGTTTAATTGCTTAAAAAGGTTTGAGGTGACACGAACAAGGTCGATGACGAACGCACAAGGCGGCCGACTTACATGGTCGAAAATGGCTCGATAAAATCGAGAGTTTGTTTTTTTTTGAAAATGGTTATGTAATCAAGAGTCAACAAAGACAATAGCAATATTCACACTAAAACCATGCAAACATATGGGTTAGTCGACAAAAAAAATCGAGACATGCGAAAAAAACGGCCATCAAGGAGTTCGCCGTGCGAACTCCTTGAAAAATTTTTTTTTTAGGTAAAAACAACAAAATAAAGAAAATAAAAAAATAAGCAAACTGATCAGTTCGCGCCGCGAACTGAGAAAAGTGAACATTATGTTTTTGCATGTTCGCGCCGCGAACTGAGAAAAGTTTTGATTCTGTTTTTGACAGTTGGTGTCGCGACCTGAAGCGAAAAATACAGTATTTGCTGTATTTTTTGCTGTCTTTTGTGATTTTCTTCCTTTTTATTGGTTCTTTAAAAATGGTTTTTTTTGTGGTCCCCTTAGAATCTTACATGGTATACTTAGTGCAACAACATAAAAATAAAAGACAAATGCAAGATATAAAGAGGGAAAAGTTTAAAGAAATGGATACCCCAAGAGCTTTTATCCTTCTTGCGAATACTCCACTGGTTTTGGTTGGCTGTGCTCCCCCTCTTCACTCTATATGGTGAAAGTTTTGATCTTCAAAGGTTTCTTGTCTTTCTATGGAACTCTTTTTTTTGGTTTTCTCTCTTACTATTTTTCTGGTTTTCTTTGCAATGTGTGTTGCTCTCACTATTTTCTGTTTTTCTCTTCTCTCTTACTCTCTCAATGTCGTGTATGTGAATGATAGTGAATGAATAGATTTGTTTGCAGCTCCTTCCTTTTGTTGACAACCCCTTTCCCCTCTCATCTCACTTTTTCTGCTGTACCAAACCAATGGCTCTTGCACAACTTTCAATTTTCAGAATTTCCATTCTTGGCAACAATTATGGCCACTTTCTTGGTGCAACCCCACTTTTTCCACTTCTAGTATGCTGCTTTTGCTGTATTTTTTCTGCAGCACTCCACCTTGCTATCCATCCTTGTGTCCATTGGTTGGTTATGCTTGGATCTACTCATGTAGTCTATACCACTACCTTTTGACAACATTTCCAAATTCTGATTTTTGATGTGTAGATGTATCAACATAAGCTCATAGCCTTGGTTTTGTGACATAAAATGATTTTGTAATATGATACACATTGCCACTTCTTGCATGGGGCTGTTTTGGACCATATTCAAATTTCCCATGAATGTATGCATAGCCTTGATCTTGAGATATTCCAACATTGAATTAGCTCTTAAATATTTTCCTTGCATGTTTGTAAGCACAAAGAGGGTCATGTGGACTTGATGGAGCATGGGGGATACCATGACATGAAGTTATTTTTAGAAACTTGAATTAAGACTAGAAATAACTTAATTTCCTAAGTATTACCAAGAGTTTGGATTTTGTAACAAGTGTGACATTCTTGCAAATGTCATGAAATTTTCTTTGTAATATTCTTGAATCTAGCCTTGAATTCATGAATCTTGAATTTGGAATGATGGGCTTCCCTTATGTCATTGAATTTGAAGAAATGAGTCAATCCTTGAAAGAGGGCAAATTTTGGGGTGCAACACTCTCCAAGATAAGTACTTAATTCATTATCTGCATTGTCACACCCTTCTAAAAGATAGAACTCAGCAATTCCATAAGGATGACTAACACTACCAAAAACTTGCGGCTCATCTGAATTACCTTGAGGAGGCATAAATCCAGCACAATATTCTTCATAAATAGATTTCAAGTAGAAATCTAAGTTTGCTTTCAAGGCATCGGCATCATCCTTATTGCAGTACCGCCTTACCATCCAATCAACCAATTTAATCTTGCGCCTAGGGTCGAAAACTAGAGCAATCAACAAAATCATATTAAGCTTCTCATGAGATCCCCAATACTTATCATACTTCTTCTTCATCTTTTGAGCTGCTGAACGTAGATGTTCATCTTCAGACGCATACGTATCCGCAATGCTCTTTCCAATACCCAGGACCTCAAACATATAAATATTGCTTGTCAAATAAAATGATCCTGATATGTGTATTGTAGCATCATAAAACAACTTTAAAAATGGAATGATTAAGTTGATATGCTTCCAATCATCTTTTGTCGGGACACCTTTTCCCTTCTTTGTCAACTCATTCACATACCTAGCACAACATAAAATGTTTAACATAAATTAAAGTATGAATATTTAACACAACCATCATTGATATCTCAGTGAATAATATCCAAACAAAACAAAAATCAGACATGAATTGTTTAACATATATCAACCCAAACACACTGCTTGTTGCATGGATTTGTCACAAAACAAAATGCAGGAAATGGAAACTTTTTATACCAGTCTTGCTTCGATGTTCTTCAATGGCGAACTAGATCCTAAATCAATCGATGAACTTCTAGTGGTTTCTACTACTGTTAACAACCTTGGTTCCGAGTCGAATGGATCAGAACCGAATAATGATATCCGTTCTATAGATAAATCAAATTTGACATGTATGTTTAAACTAATGGTTATGATTTTCCATAGGTGGCTATGACAGTGAAGAAAATCTATATATAATTATATTATATGAATATAAGATAATCTTTGATTGATGAGTTAAATGCATTTCTAACATGCATATGATATGATGTGGTCTATAAACATGACACAAATGTCACATTGTCACCAAGTTCATTGGAACGTGTGTGGGGATATATTACCAGTGGTGGCTAATCATTCATCTTTCTCTTGTCCTATAGAAATAAATTCAAGTTTTTGAGTTCAGATTCAGCACAAAACACAACAACTGTGTATAGTATAGTTCCGCAAAAGCAAAATTGGGTTTTCTAGAGCTTCTGGAAGCGGCTTCTATGCCAGTTATCCAAGTTCTGCTTATTAGTGCATTGGGAGCTTTTATGGCTACTCAATATTTCAACAATCTTCTTTCATCAGATTTTAGAAAATCCTTAAACAAGGTAACATATTCAACAAATGCATCACATATTAATCTTCTGCATTTACTGCAGTAATTGATCTCGGTGTCATTGATTTTATGATTGATCCGAGAAGTTCAATTATTGCGTCGAGTCCAAATTTGATTTATTTGTTTTGCAGGTTGTATTCTTTATATTCACTCCTTCATTTGTAGCTCAGCTCAACCAACTTCGATATACCGAGGGGTTTCAAGGTATTCATTCTTATTATTAAATCTACATTCATAAAATTGCCATGTATGTTCGTCGTAATTGCAAGGTTTTCTATTGTTGTATAGGCACAGATGGACGGGTAGATTTGAAGCAAATCTATGGGATCACAATAGTAAGCTAGAGGGCCGTGTCAGGAAAGGGCGTCAAGGTTCTTTTCTCTATCTCTCGGGTCGTGTCAGGAAAGGGCGTCAAGGTTCTTTTCTCTATCTCTTTTGTTTTACTTTGAACTTCTTTACTGATTATTTTTATTTGAACATGAAATACTAGGGACACTATAAGCTGAATTTCTTGTTTTTTCTTTGACATGGAATGACTCGGTGCAATTCTTGGCTCCTGTCATGTCACAGTGTATTTAGGTGAGAAATGTTTCTACTAAATTCCCTAAAGCATGATATGGTTAATTAGTACATGCTAAACTAATGGTTATGATTTTCCATAGGTGGCTATGACAGTGAAGAAAATGCAGCAAGGGCTTATGATTTGGCAGCATTGAAGTACTTGGGAGAAACAGCTACCACAAACTTTCTTGTAACAATCACTTTTATTATTCAGTTTGGATCTATTTTCTGCATATAATAACTGAAGTGCAACTAGATTTGGTCTGCGAAGGTTTGTATAAGCTAACCCACTAATTATTTAACACTATAATTAAGTTCCTTGCCTAAAATTGTACCTTCTCTTTGCTTGCAGGAAAAGCAATGGTTTTTCTAAGGGGACTTCAAAATATAGAGGTGTTACAAGGTTTGAAATTTGAAACCGCATATACTATCAAGTGATTATCATTCTCTTGTATCTCTAATGTTCATCGATTGATTTGATGACCATTTATAATCTTTGTATTCATTGTATTCATGTATATTTCAGACTCACAACATTATTATGAAAGGGGAAACCCAAAATTTTCAGACTCACATGTATAAACTGTGTATGATTCTGAGTTAAAAGAAACAAGCATGCAAAGCAAGAAAGATCACATTGAATGTTATTCAGTGGTAATAACAAACATAAGCAAACATAAACAAAATAAAGTTTCACGTACCTTTTATCTCGAAAACCTAATTCTTCAAAGGTTTTTTCATGTTTTGATGCAGATACTAACATCAAATAAGTTGAATTCCAACGAGTCTCAAACATCTAGAGAAACTAAACCTTTATAGTCCATGCTCTCCTCATCAATACATGCCTTGAATTTAGCAAGCCTCGCCGGATAAGATCTAGCATACCAAACAGCATGACGAACTCTATAAACAGAATTATCAATGTCTTTCAAACTTTCTTTCACAATTAGATTTAATACGTGGGCGTAACACCTCATATGAAAATGGTTTCCGCTCATAACTAAACTATTCTTAGACAAAAGCCTTCTCTTGAGACGTTCAACTCCAACATCATTAGATGAAGCATTATCAACCGTCAAACTAAGCATGCGGTTTAAGCCCCAATTGTTCAAACACATATCCGTTGTTTCACAAATAGCATCCCCTGTATGACTTGTGACTTGACAAAAATTTAAAATCTTCTTCTGTAAGTGCCAATTATTGTCAATGAAATGGACCGTCACACACATATAGCTCAACTTTTAACAAGAAGTCCACATATCAGTGGTGAGACAAACTCTTCGACAATTCAGAGAGAGAAATTTTTTTTAAATTATGTTTTCTGTGTCCCACAGTTTCAAGACATCACGTGCCAATGTTGTGCGCGAACAAATCTGAAATCTTGGTGAAGTGAGACTCATAAATTCATGAAAAGACTCATGTTCGACCTTCCGAAAAGGAATCTCCATGTTTATGAACATTTTAACCATTACTCTTCGAATGGCTTCTTGGTCAAACTTGACGATTAAAGGAGACCCAACATGTTCTTCAGCACTTGTCATAGAAGACGATGTCCTTTTCCTCTTGTAAAATAGGCATCTCGATAAATGAGCATGCATAGAACTAGTTCCATTATTATACTTAATTTTTATGTCATAGTATTTGCACGAAGCTTTTTAAATTAATTACTTGACTCAAATTTATATCTGACTCAAATTTGTATTTAAATTATGAAAATGGAAAATTATGATTTTTTTTAAGTGATAGTGATTTTTTAGATATCAAGTTAACCGGTTTGACCAATTTTTCAAGTTTATTAAACCGAATCATCCGATTTAGTCACACAATTCAACTCATAATCCAATACCTCGGTCAATAAACAGAAATTTAATAATAAATTTGATGACCGGTTCAATTTTTAAAATATCGGTGAGATGCACGAACAAAAAAACTAAGGGTGCTCATTATTTGACTCTAGAATACTACAAAAGAAACATTTGTACTACGAGTTTGAGACAAATCATAAAAATCACTTCAACATTTATAGTACGCGTTTGACCGGTTCAATTTGGTAGTTGTTTGAAAGGGTTCTTGTTCCAACATTGCCTTTCATGCTGGAAAATTTTACCCCATACCCCTACAATTATACCAATACCCCAACACTAAAATTTTTTGGACCAAAATACCCTCGTATGAAAAGTTATAATTTTTTGGTTTGTTTACCGGAAGACTTTTTGGAAGTCTTCCGGTTCACATTTTTTTGGTTTGTTTAACGGAAGACTTTTTGGAAGTCTTCCGGTTTACATTTTTTTTATTTGTTTACAGGAAGACTTTTTGGAAGTCTTCAGGTTCACGTTTTTTTGATTTGTTTACCGGAAGACTTTTTGGAAGTCTTCCGGTTCATGTTTATTTTTTATTTTTTTTAATTTTTAATTTTTTTTAATATTCAAATTACAAATATATTTATTTTATTTACTCTATTTTAGTTAATTAATATATTTATTTTATTTACTCTATTTATTCTATTTATTTATTTAATAATAATTATTCCATTAATTTGATTTTTTTTATTAATTTACTATATTTATTTACTTAATAATAATTACTCCACTAATTTGGTATTGTTTTTTTTTAATCAATAAAAATAAAAATTGTTAACTAATTTATATATTGATTGTGTTCTTTAAAGAAAAAAATTAACAATTTAATAATATGTTTATATGAAAAATAAAAATAAATATCATATTTAAATTATAATCCTATCATTTCTTCTATCAAAAAATTTCACCAAAAAATTATAATATATAACATTTATAATTATTTAAACAATATTTTATGGGGTAAAATATTAACTTTTAAAAATATATTTTATGGGGTAAAATATACTTTTAAAAATTTTCACCATAAAATATTAACTTTTAAAATTTGTAGGAGTAAAATATTTTATGGGGTAAAATATTAACATTTAAAATATTAAAAACTAATTAAATCATAAATATTTAGCAGAAGAGTGATGAAAACATGCTTTAGCATAAGAGTGTAGTGAAATCATCCAAAGGAAGCTTCCACCCAAAATAATTAATCAGGTAGATTCACTATTCCTTATGTTATTGGTTCGCTAAATATTAGCATTTCTATGTGTGATTTAGGAGCTAGCATCAATCTGATGTCATTGTCCATGATGAGGAAGTTAAAATATGGTGAGTAGAAACCTACTCAAATGATTCTAACATTGGCGGATAGATCAATCACATGCCCATATGGAATTCTTGAAGATGTCTCGGTAAGGGTATATGTTCTATCATTTTCAGTCGACTTTGTGATTCTAGATATGCCTGAGAATTTTGAGACACCACAATTACTTGGAAGGAAATGTTTATGATTTAATTAGTTTTTAATTTTTAAAAGTTAATATTTTATCCCATAAAATATTTTACCCCTACAAATTTTAAAAGTTAATATTTTATGGTGAAAATTTTTAAAAGTATATTTTACCCCATAAAATATATTTTTAAAAGTTAATATTTTACCCCATAAAATATTGTTTAAATAATTATAAATGTTATATATTATAATTTTTTGGTGAAAATTTTTGATAGAAGAAATGATAGGATTATAATTTAAATATGATATTTATTTTTCTTTTTTATATAAACATATTATTAAATTGTTAATTTTCTTCTTTAAAGAACACAATCAATATATAAATTAGTTAACAACTTTTATTTTTATTGATTAAAAAAACAATACCAAATTAGTAGAGTAATTATTATTAAGTAAATAAATAAGAATAAATTAATAAAAAATCAAATTAGTGGAATAATTATTATTAAATAAATAAATAAATAGAATAAATAGAGTAAATAGAATAAATATATTAATTAACTAAAATAGAGTAAATAGAATAAATATATTTGTAATTTGAATATTAAAAAAAATTAAAAATTAAAAAAAAAATAAACATGAACCGGAAGAAGTCTTCCGGTAAACAAATCAAAAAAATGTGAACCGGAAGACTTCCAAAAAGTCTTCCGGTAAACAAATAAAAAAAATGTAAACCGGAAGACTTCCAAAAAGTCTTCCGGTAAACAAACCAAAAAAATGTGAACAGGAAGACTTCCAAAAAGTCTTCCGGTAAACAAACCAAAAAATTATAACTTTTCATACGAGGGTATTTTGGTCCAAATTTTTTTTGTGTAGGAGTATTGGTATAATTGTAGGAATATGGGGTAAAATTTCCTTCTTGCTGGCATCACTGCGTTTGAGACGAATCACAAAAATCAGTTCAAATTCAAACTCTCTTAAACTTCACTCAACTCTTGAACAACAACAACCCACAGAACCTCTCACAACATCCCAGCTCAAAACCCTTGTTCTCAACAACTACACTAATGCCACCTTCACACGTCGTCGCTTCACCCTTTTCACCGCCTCCCATAACATCTCCACCACACCCTTTCACCCCCACCCAGACCGCTTTTTCAACATCGATGTCTTGGCTCAACAGCTTCGCCAAAACAGCTTCGATGTCGCATCCTGCTGCGTTTCACTCAAATCCTCCGCTTCTCCCTTTTTGCCCAATTTGAAACTCAAGGTGGTCATTGAAGCCCTTAGGACGGTTCGTCACGTTTTCCTACGGTGGACGCGTTGGTATGGGAAGACACACTGCTAAGGTACTTAAAAAACACTGTTCAAAATCCTACTTGGTGGTTTACTGTTAGGTTTAAGCCTCACAAATTTGAATCTGCTCATATGGATAACTTATGTTTTTTCATTCAACGTAAAGTGAAAGATTATGGTTTCATTCATTTGATTAAGAAGTTGTTTGAGTGTAAAGTTTTGGTCATTGAATTGGGTAGGAATTCTCTTGGAAAGGGCTTTCCTCAGGAATGTGGGTTGTCTTCAATTTTGATAAATGTTTACTTTGATGGGTTTGATAAGGAGATTCAAGAAACTCGGCTTCGGGAAAACCAACAGAGTCCGAAGATGGTTGATTCTGGTTTGGGATCTGATGTCCTTTACAAGCCAGTTAAGGTGTACGCTGTTAGGTATTTGGATGAGATACTGGTTGCTACGTCAGGGGTGGTTGCTACGTCAGGGGTTCCAAGTTGATGGCTATGGACTTGAAGATGAAAGTTGTGAAAACTTTGGAGCTCGATTTAAGTTTGCATGTTGATAAATTGAACACAGCAATTCATAGTGCTGTGTCAGAGAAGATTGAGTTTCTTGGAATGGAATTCCAGGCTGTTCCGCCATCGGTTTTACGCCCGGCTATGTCAGAGAAAGTGATCCGGGCACACAAGAAGTACCTTAGACAAAAGGAAGTTAGAGCATTTGAGTTCCAAAATGCTAGAGCGAGGAATAGGAGGATATTAGGGTTGAAAATATTTAATCATGTTTATAAGAAGATGAAGCTAAGTGACGGGTTTAAGTTTGACTTTAGTATTGAAAACGAAGTCCGGGAGATTTTTAAATCTTGGGCAGATGAAGTAGTGCAAGAGTTCTTGGGGAGTGTGGATGAGTGTCAAGAATGGCATCGGAGTTTAACGGCCGGTGATTTCCTTTCCTTGAGACACATTAGAAATCAGTTACCTCCTGAGCTTATTGATGCTTATGATAACTTCCAAGAACAGGTAGATAAACATTTGAATCCTGTAAAACTCAGGAAAGTAATTGAGGACAAAGAAAGAAGAGAAACGCAAAAGGAAGAACAAAAATATTCAAAAGGAACAGTTGAGGATTTGACTAGGTTTTGTACGAAAGTCGATGCACCAGTATTACTCATAAGAAAAGCTGTTAGGTTGGGTGCGTTTACGAATCATATGGGCTGTCCAAGGCCTATAGAATTCCTTGTCGCTCTTGAGGATGCTGATATTATCAAGTGGTATGCTGGCATAGCAAGAAGGTGGCTTGACTTCTATTGCTGTTGCCACAACTTCAAGGTGGTCAAAACTATTGTAAGTTATCATTTGAGGTTCTCATGCATCTTGACATTAGCAGAGAAGCACGAGTCCACTAAGCGCGAAGCTATAAAGCATTTCAGCAAAGATTTGAAAGTCTATGATATGAACGGAAATGATGAAGTGAATTTTCCCACAGAAAGGGAGGTTAAGATGATGGGAGATAGAAATCTTTCGGATCCAAAACCTGTAGACGGGGTTTTATCATTGGCTGTAGTAAGGCTGGCATCTGACGAGTCTCCAACACATTGTATTGCCCATTTCTGTGACAAGACAACAACAGTATTTTATCGGGTCCGATTGCTACAAAACACTTCGAATGTGAAGCCATTGGAGAATGAAAAATGGGTGCAAGGGATGGGCGTAATTCATGAAAGCCTGAACCAAAAGTGCTTCCCTCTCTGTACGGATCATGTACATGATTTGTACTTGGGGAGAATCACTCTTCAAGACATCGACTGTACCTCTTGTGTTGATGTGGAATGACTGCCAATTGCTGCAGCTAACTCTTTTTTTTCTACTTTGATTGGTATCAATGAAGTGAGTTATTCATACTTTACTGAATTTCGTCTTAATTTTTTCTCACCAGTCAACCCTAAACA